AAAAAAAAATTGAACTTCTAAGTGATTCACAAAACAAACTAAACAGTCACATACTCAGATAAAAATAGGAGAGAAGGAATGATTAAATACAGACAACAGTTGCAGATTACAATTTGATCATTCGAGTGCGAGATTTATCTCACTAAGACCACTCATTGACTTCCTTGAACAAATCTTGGATACCCTTCTTCCATGTTGCGTTGCCAACAGTAAGTGTTGCTGTGTCACCGGATATCTTCGCAACGTGAGCAGTTGTCCACTTCCCAGTGGTATCATCATGGGCAACAACGATGTCACGCACTTTCAGATGACGTTGCTCAACTGGAGTGAGATTTCGCAAAGTGATACCACCAATTTGATGACGCACCTCTTTGTAGGTTTGTGCTTTTTTTGAGTGTTTATAGTTGCTTTGATGTTTTAAAGATCTTGACTGAACAGATGAAGTGCGGCCGTGATGCCGATAAGTGCTTCTCCTTCTTGATTTCTCTGCACTATGTCTGTCATACCTTTCCCTAGTTTTCAGCTCCCTTTCCTTCGGTCCTGCGTGACTGAGAAGTTCTTTTAGCTCGCGCAAAAGAAACTGCTTTTGATTACGATCTAGCAGGTATGCATTATCGCCAAGTTCTGAAACCGTTTGAAATGCTCGTGACTGGAAGATGACGGACAACTCTGCTTCTCGAGCATTACGTTGCAGATCAAGAAGTTTCTCCTCGGTTTCCTTGATTAAACGTTTGATCTCCTCCAGTTCGAAGTCAGGAGCGGATGTGTAGGAGCTTGGACCAGGCTCTCCACCACACTCTGCACCCTCTCTTCCATAAGTGGCTTCATTAAAGTTAACCTCGCCATAAGTAGCAAAGGAAGCAGGAGGCATAGATGAAGTACCAGGATATTGCAACGCCATTGAGAACGACTGACTCGGAACCTGAAGCGTTCGTTGCTGAGCTAGTTCCATCTGCAGCTTTGCGCGTTCTTCCAGTTGCACTTGTTTACGTATTTCTTCCTCCAAAGTTCTTTTTTTTTCCTCAAATTCTTGTTTTAATCGGCGTTCCAGTTCCCTTTCTTTTTCCTTCAAACGTAGTTCTTCCTCCATTCTGAAAGTTTCTGCTGCCAGTCTAGCGCGAAGTTCGTCTTCTTTGCGATCTGCATTCTCCTGTTCGTTAGGCATCAGGGGATCGGACAAACTACTTCTTCGGTGTGATAAAGCTGATTGCGATAAGGAAGCATGGGCTAAAAATGGTGTCTCTCCTTCTGCAGAATTTCTGATTATCATCTCCCTACGTAGTAATTCCTCTCGTTGTTGAGCTATCTTGCTTGCTATCTCATCAGGAGTGTATTCCTTAGAATTGCTCTGATCATCCCAATAGGGGTAATATTGATCATTACGACCGCGTTCATAGCGTCGTTCTGCATTCCAGATAGGTAAAGCGGTAGAGTTAGACGGTCCTTTTTTTCTCTCTTCAAAATCACCTCTACAATCTTGTTCGCAGTGACTTCGAAGCTTGCAACGACGGCAAAAGCCAGTCCTGCTCTGGCTATCGCTTAGTCCAGGACTCTTTGAACCACTCGTTTTCATCTAAACAAAACCGCAAAACATAGGAGATTTGGAAATGCATTGCGAAAATAAGCTAACGGGTCAATATAATAAATGAAGGCGAATGTTTCTCCGAGGTGGAAGCTGCCGTTGATGTTATAACTACACACATATGACTTCAAAAAGAGTAACTTACGAGACCATTCCATATTCTTCGTTGATTGGGGTCGCGAAGATAAACATCTCCCATTACCTATAGCGATGAGTTCGTTAAACAGTATACAGCTACTTGTAATTTTACAAAAAGAGTCACAAAAGATGGAGAGAATCAAAACGTAATTCAAGAAAAGATTATAAAAATTCTACCGAGTCGAATACAGTTTGCAACCTGTCCAGCACGTCCTGCTCCACTTCTCTAGCTGAATAGATATCCCACGGCCAAGAAACTAAATTAATGAAACTTCATCGTTGATGTTAATGTATTGTTCAGTATTTGTAGCGTAAAGATCTCCATTATGATCTCACTTTTACACATCTTTTTGTCAAGATCAACCAAAGCGTCCACCGCCAAACTGTAGTCTCTTTTAGGGAGGTCCATCTAAACAGCTTTCAATAGATGGACATTTACTTTTCAAAAAATAAGACTATACACTAACTCTTTTGAAAAAAGGATGGTCTCCTATGGAAGCATGTAAAGCTTCAGTGAGTAACCCAACACGGCAACATTTGTCAACCAGATCTTTAGCGGCAGCAACTCTTGCAAGCGAAGCTCTGAATCTTCGCGGTTACGAAGGAGAAAGATAGTTTTTTTTTAAACAAAGCTCACCTGTGTCCAAAACCGCTACCAAAAAATACACATGGAGGAAGCCCTTTTATCACCATATCGCAATGGAGGAGATCACTTCTGTTGAAAACTCCTGCTGGTAGAACGATGCGAGATTTCTCTGCTAATGTGGTCGCTGCAAGAATGAAGATTATGTAAATGAAATGGAAGATGTCCTAAATCGAAGCGATAAGCTTTTTTTGGTAGACTACTTGATAGGCCAGTACAAAGTAAAAAGCTATGAAAGACTAAAAACAATGTCTCTTTGTGAATAACGAAAAATGCCAACAAATGCACAAGAAACTAACGTGTGATAGTGTCTTCAATTCGTTTTGGTTGCGAAGTCGCATTCAACCTCACAAGGACTTTATTGCTTTCATCCAACCAATATCTCAGAAACTGAATTTGAACACTGATTAGCAAATGAACAGCAACATAAAATTCAGTGCAGAGGGAAGGTAGGCTTTCATAAGCTAAATTTTGTTTTAGCAAAGAAAAATCCACGACGGAATCTTTTTAGAATGAAAACGCTACAGCACAAATCCATAAAGATTTTGCGATAAAGAAGTGTACACAACATAGTTAGTACTTAAAACAAACGCATCGAGGTCTGTTACCGCAGTGTAACATAAGACGGAAAGAGCATACCTCAAAGTAGTTGTCAAATTCGAAAACTATTCCATCGCGAACTAGATCATCTGGAAGCATCACTGGCGCATCACTGCAACAACTAACAATATTCAATTATTGTAAGTTCTACTTGTTCATGAACATCAAGTAAATCAACCACAGTTGCACCTAATATTTGGATATCGGAGAATTTCGCTGCAGTTTATTCCAGTGCTTCTTACCCAACCAAAGGTTCTTGAAAATCAGAAGTATTGGAAAAATATTATGTATTGATAATATGTTTGAGTTGGCCAGTAATTTCCGTTTCGCTGGTTGATTGAAAGTGAAAGAGGGCTTAAAAGTGCAAGCAACAGCTTGGTTTTTCTAGGATGCCCAAACATCAGAATTGCTCTGGAGTCACTATCACTGTTTTGTTTAGAATATAGTTGAAGTTTGACAGGCTGGTAACGAAAATCATATCTATCTCCCGAGACATCCA